AGAAGAGATAGAGAAGAGAGAGGAGGAGGAGAGAGAGAGAGATGAGAGAGCAGAAGAGTGAGAAGAGGCTGGAGAGAGCTGGAGGAGAGAGAAGAGAGAGACAAGAGAGAGAGAGAGAGTTAGAGAGGAGGGAGAGAAGATAGAGAGCGCGGAGAGATTATATACATGTGTATGTATATGTATAAGTACATATATACATATGTGTATAAAACAAAGTAGACACAAAGCCAGAATCTTTGGCACCTTTGCACGTTACACAACACATGGAAGACCGATCACATAAACACACTCCGCACGCGGAATCTGTGGGCTCAGATGGGCCCGATAGTTTTGAAAAGATCCCTGCAGAAAACGTACCATTATTTCGTAGTCTGCTATTTTTGTAACTAGTTTGGTCCTATTTTAAATAATTTTGGGTCAGAATTTCATTTTGATTCGGGGAGGCTTGTTTTTATGCTTTGGAACCCTTACCACATTTTTAACTATCTAAACGTACTGGAGCTTCCGGCCCTTGACGGCTTCCACCCTTTCCAAGAGAGGGCGAGTCCCGGAAGCCCGCTCCTTGACTATGCAACTGCTGGTCGCCTACTTCAGCTGAACCAAGTGAACAAAGGCATGACTACTCCTACGTTTGCTATAGTCTTCTCATAAGGGTTAGGCACAGCGCCAAAAATGATTAAATAAAACAAAAAATGAGACAATTACCAGCCTTAGGTTTAAACAAATAATACCTCTCCATAGACGTACAGTTTGTCCGATTACAAAGTGCAGTTATTGTTCCAGGAGATCATTGTCAAGAGATCCCTGCAATCACATAACACGGACCTTAATTGATCGTTCACAAGCTGCACGCTGCTGTAAGATCTATCCCACATGAGCTAGGCTAAACCTGTTCGGGTCGGTCGAATTTCCAGATGTGCTCGATAATTTAACGTTCAGCTGGCAGTAGCATTATTGTCCTGAATCTTACCTGTTACCCCGGATCAAGAGCGGTCGATCGAGGCTGCTTGGGCTGAGGTCTGATCGACGTGGCTCCTCACTTCGTTCGGCGGAGGAGATCAGACGCTCGGAGGATGCGACAAAATGGCTGAACAGAACAGAATAGTAATAGGAGCCACACAATGGCTGCTTTTCCTAAAACATCGTCTTGTTTGTAATCATGGCGCTGCCACCCAGAAGTTTAACACGCATCTTTTCCGAGTCAGTTCGATCAGGACCTTGCACTGGATATCCTGCTAAAAATACCGGGTGCAATTTGTAGCGATCTGTATATCAAATGGGAAATTTATACAAAACAACAGCCATGTATTCATTTGCCTCTTACGTCCGTGACATGTCGCACCACCCTCTGGATGAGGGCGTGCTGGTGCGCTTCTCTTCCGAACATAGATGCGCCCGCGACAGGAGTAGACGGAGGCCATGTCAGGAATTTCTGAACCGTTGCAGTGACAATTCCTTCGCTTGATGTTGTTGGCGGTGCCTGGACGTCATCAAAGCTTTTCAGCTGCATGTCGATGGCTGCGAAGTTAGCGGATGCCGAAGGCAAACTCTGAAACAAGAAGCGTGCTTTATGTATCTTGTGCATTTCAATTATGATGTTAGCAAGTGCGGCGCATTCAGTTCAGACTAGATGACACACAATGCACATGCACTGGGACCTACCTATCGAAGCTGTGTTTTCATTGTAGTTGTAATGTAAAGCATATACGTGGTAAGTAATGTTTGGATTTTGTGCTCGGTGCACTCTCTGTCCAGAGATATGAGGACATAATCTCTGAGGGTATTACTTCTACACTTATACTTCGTCAAGTACCTGGCGCTCCGGTTCGTCCGTGGTGGAGGCTACAATGATCCTGGCGGCCAGCCTCAGCACCTACTTGATGAGCAGCCTTTTGATTTGTGCTCTCCTGGGAAACGAAACCGAACTGTTTCAAGGTCCGATACCGCGGATGAAGCACGACAGCCAGGAGATGCCCGTCGGTTACATCACACTTCGCCGCCATGCAAGAGAGTAGGTGCTGCTTCATCTGGAAAAAAGTACAGTGTAGTTTATAGTACCATTATGTCCGCCGCGATCAGATTGACTATACAAGGTTTATGGAAAGATTTGAAAACACTTCTGCGATCAATCTGGGGCACCATGGCAAGCTTCACCCTGCGTTCCGTTGACAACCTCAGGAAACACAAACATAGAACAACTACACACAGCCTGTACATACGTTGTTCACGGATTGCCAGCTTCTTAACAAACCAAATGACCTGCACTTTTGTTCAGTGTAATCTCACCTGAATGGCGAATGCCCTGTTACCCGGTGCTGGTGCTCCCGCTGGCTCCGTCACCTGGTGCTGGCGCCAGTGCACGCAGGACGTTCTCCATGGCGATGGGCGCCAGGAAGGTCGCCGCCCAATCTCTCTAAGGGTTGTCTGTATTGGCTTGAAAAGCAGTAGCACCTGGATGATAGCCTCGAGCATCGGTGCATGGATAGTTTGGAGGAGCTGCGCGACCCGCCAAGATGGACGTTATTGTATTTGGCTTTTAAGTGATATCGTGATGAATAGCACTTTCCATAATCATCGGCCTAAACAGAATGGGAGCCAAATTCAAGCTAGGTGAACTTTGCACGCAAGCAAAAAGAAAATGGCTACCAATTTACCCCTTGTTAATAAGAGTGACATTGCCAAAACCGATTGATCAGTAACGCACCGCTTGTTCTACACCCAGGTAAGAAACAGTGAATACCTATCGACACCCTCTGCAGCTTCCGAGCAGGGAAATGCTGCAAACCCAGTATATTACAGCTTGAACATGCCTGTCACTTAAGTTGTTTTAACGTGCGCTCTGGTAAAGGAGGGGTCGATGCGACCTCTTAAGGCATTTTGGGGATACCCCTCCGACATGTGCAACTCTCAGTAGTCTATGTGGCATCAATTGCGCATGTATTTGCATACAAATGTGCCCTTAGTTTTTTCTGGTTTCGGTGCAGCGACGGTTTTTCATGAACACTCACGACGAGCTACGGTCGGGCGCGGGCGGCGGGCGGCAGCCGACGGTGCCGCGTAACGTGTGTGGCTAACCGCCATTGTTACATTGCTTCACAGGGGGTCATGCATCCTAAATGTTTGGTCAAACGCATAAGATTACACCCGGCTGTGCTCCGAATTGAACAAGAACATACCTATTTCAATTTGATGCGGTTTCAATGCATTGTCTCGTATGTAGAAGGTTACAAAGCTGAAAAAAGTGCGATTTCCGGGAAAATTTGACCTTTGACCCGATAAAATGCGGTCAGTTATTATCGAAGCAGCACCAAAATGATTAACAATCGCGAGATCTCGCTTGTACCAATCCACTGGCGTTTTCCGCCAAGCTCTATGTTTTTTTACTGGGAAACGGCAGTGGGTCACACCAACCCGTCTCCTCTCCC